GATGGATAAATACAAATACAAGTGGACATGGTCGGGTAGTTGTACATCCAAACAACAAAAAGACACTAAGTACAGATCTGAGAGTACTTGCAGTTACTGACAGCTAGTTCAAAGCCACTAACAACTGATAAAAAAATCTTGCATCTAAGACTAAATTATCAATCCGTAAGCTCCCTTTAGAATTTTATAAATTTTAGATTTTACATTTCTGAGTTATGGGGTTTTATTCATTAAAAAAGGGGGGATTTTCCAGTTTTTGGACAACAACTCAAAAATGCTTTAAGCAGTTCACATGAAACTTTGGTGAATTATTTATAGCTATTGATGTAATCTCCCTATTGATTTTCATAAATTTCAAATATGACATTGAGAAGAAATTGAACTTTATTTGTTTATAGTCTGGCAACAGATTTATTAAGTATTGCGCAACAGCACAGTGTATTGCACAACAGCAAGAAATCTTTAATTGAATATAAATTCAATTCATATAACCGATTTCAAGTTCATTGACTACATTTATTCAGAGACTATAATATGTCAAATATTTAATTACAATCCAAATTCAGACCTGTATCAAGCTTGAATATTGTGTCCATTTTTGCCCCAGCTGTTCAGGGTTGGACCTCTGCGGGTGTATCCAGCTGCGCTCAGCGAATCAGTTTATTTCTTAATTAAGAACTCCTTTTTTCATTCATAAATTACTTTATGCTTGGAAATATAATTTTGCTTGGAGTTGAAAGAGTTGACATGTTGCAATGTACATTTACTCTACATAGTTCTATGGTACCAAATCAAAAGTTTATATAAAAGAAAGAAGTCAAAGATTTCCCATCATAGTTTAGTTACATACATTTTTTTTGTACCTGAGGTCGTTGAATATAGATCATTATATAAATAAGGAGATGTGTTATGATTGCCAATGAAAAAACTAAGGATTTTCTTATCCAAGGAATAGATTACCTTAGCCGTATTTGGCACAACTTTTTGGAATTTTGGGTCCTCAATGCTCTCCAACTTTGTACTTGTTTGGCTTTGTTACTATTTTGATCTGAACGTCACTGATGAGTCTTATGTAGACGAAACACACGTCTGGCGTATTAAATTATAATCCTGGTACCTTTGATAACTAATTTGACTATAAACATAGATAAAAAAGGTACAAACTGGACATAATGCACTAGTTCATAAAGAAGTGAGAACAATCGCCTTCATATAGTGCTCAGAATATGACATTCATAAAACTTGTTCAATATCATTAGAGAACTCTAAATCTTAAATACTGAAAGCCACCTCTGATAAGTACACTGTACTATGCAAGATAATGATATAACTGGACTTAAAATACACACAACCTGTAATTAACTGCCTTTACAGCACTTTCGTGCTTTGATTTCTTTGATATTGCCGAAAATCAATGAACCGTTAGACACGTGTCAAATTACATAACTGATTACACTGTTATCTTTGGAACAAGTATTTTACAGTTTTATGGCTAAAAAATTGCCAAAAGTTAGATACCAATAAATGAATTATTTTTCAGTTTCAGATTATTTCAATGATCAATTTTGATTTAATTTCGCACTGAATAAGTTGTTTAAATTTTATTCATTTTTTTTTCAGAATCAAGGATTTGTATATTTCTTGTAAACTTATTTAATAAATAATAATCACGTAAACAGACATATTTAAAACTTGAACTGTTTGCACAGTGTTTATTTCTTTTGCGTTTGCTATGGTTCATTTTCAAAATTTATAATATATTAAATAACACGTTTGAGCAATATATTTCAGGACAAAAACAAATTCTATATGAAAAGAAACTTTTACTTCATGCAACCAAACTTATATAATACATGAACCATTTGGGCGGAAGATGTGGTATGATTGGCGATGAGATAACTCTGCACAAGAGACAAAATGCCACAGAAATTTATTGATTATAAGTCACCGAACGGCCATCAAACAATGAGCAAAGCACATACCACATAGTCATTATTTCATAAATTGTTTCGTACAATATCTTAAACAGAGAATTGGGTTAATAAAATACAACCGGATTTCCATCTGACATACTTGTTCTTAAAAAAAATGTCTTTTTTTTCCATATTTTACACGGGATAGATTTAGGTATAAAGTATTCACATTACCGGTATCTTGTATTCCAAAAATTGTTATTTTCGTATCATATGGTAAAAGCATATTTTCTAAGCAATTTGTACAAAGCATAATCTTTTTTTTTTACAAAATTATATCTTTAGCTCTAAATTAACACATACGGGTTTTTTTTTTTACTAAATAATGTGCTAAAAACTGTGGAACATTTTAAAAAACATTTGTCTCCTTTATATATTTTAAAATGAAACATCATTTGACTAAAGCATGTTAAGTTCGATATATGCTTTTTTAAAATTCTTTTACTTTAAGATAAAACAAATGTCGAACAATGACGAAAAAAATAAGTACCGTATGAAGCCATTGTAAACAGCTATATATAGATTAGACCGTTGGTTTTCCCGTTTGAATAATTTTACACTAGTAATTTTTGGGGCCCTTTATAGCTTGCTGTTCGGTGTGAGCCAAGGCTCCGTGTTGAAGGCCGTACCTTGACCTATAATGGTTTACTTTTACAAATTGTTACTTGTGATTATTTTTCTATAAAATTTGAAATGTATGCATTAAATATCAATATCTACCATAATATGAAAAGAAATTACATGCAACAGCACCCCATCTAGTCCTTAGTGGCATATTTTAAGTCCTTAGTGCACTAAGGACTCCTAAGCAGTGTTTAGACGCACCGTATCATGTCGTCGTCAGCATCGTCCGAAGACATTTGGTTTCCGGACAATAACTTTAGTAAATGTAAATAGAAATCTATGAAATTTAAACACAAGGTTTATAACCACAAAAGGAAAGTTGGGATTGATTTTTGGAGTTATAGTCCTAACAGTTTAGGAATTAGGGGCCAAAAAGGGGCTCAAATAAGCATTTTATTAGTTTCCAGACAATAACTTGTGGAACCGTGTATGGATCTCTGAAATTATACCACAAGTTTCCATACCACAAAGGGATGGTTAGGATTGACTTTGGGGGGTTATGGCTCAAACCATTTAGGAATTAGGGGCAAAAAAGGGGGAAAAACAAGGGTTTCCTGGTTAATGGACAATTAAAAAAAAGAACAATGTTATGTTTTGAATACCTCCCATACACTGCTTTTAAATTATGTATAAAGAAATGTTGTATTGTCTTGAGGTGATTAGCTGTCAATTTATTTTTAGAAGTTACTATTTAAAAATGGTGATTAAGGAATATTAATTTTACCCATGATTATGTATGTCATTTCCTATTTTAAGACTTTTATGATGTATTTAAATGGGTAATTATGGTTGCAAACTCCATTGGAAATTTGAATTGAGATTATGACCATATCTTGAGGGAAAGAATTTTTTTTGGAAAAGGGTGGGGGGGAGGTTAAAAAGAAATTGGGGGGCGGGGGGGGGGGGGGGCGGACAATTTTTTCTCAAATCAGATTTCAGAAATTAAAAAGAAAATTTCTTCAAATATTTTTTTTTTGCAAAAAAAAAGGGGGGGGGGGGGGGTCAATTCGCAACAGCACAGTGTATTGCACAACAGCAAGAAATCTTCAATTGAATGTAAATTCAAATCATATAACCAATTTCAAGTTCTTTGACTACAGTTATTCTGTGTCAGAAACCTATTATGTGTCAAATATTTAATTACAATCTGAATTCAGACCGGTATCAAGCGGGAATATTGTGTCCATTTTTGCCCCAACTGTTCAGGGTTGGACTTCTGGGGTCGTATATATCCAGCTGCGCTCGGCGAAGCTATTTATTATTACATAAATTCATTTCACAGTTAGGAAATTGTTCATTAGCCTTGATAAATACAAATTTAGTAAATTTTAATCATGCAAAGGATATATTTCTTGGCACCATGAAGCCATTGAAGTACCAAGCCACATTGACATTTTGTTTTCTTAACAATCATTTGATAATTATTGACATGTAATAATTATGTATTAAATAAATTTAATTACAAAGTTGCTTTATATATAATAGTTCAAGAAAAAAGCAAAAATGTTTTTTTAAAATAAGTGTTTTCTTATTCAAAGAAAAATAATCTCAAAACTGAATTGTGACTTTTTGTCCTGTGACTTTTTGTCTGTGACTTTTTGTCCTACATTCAGATAAGATACAGTGTCGGCTACTTTCTCTACATTGTTGCGTAACTTGGAAAGTGAATTAAGCTCCTTGTAGAGGAGGAAGATAAAGACTATGTAACAGGTGTCCGTCCGATTATTTTACTCAATTAGCCCAAAAAGAAAAAATGTGTGTTTCCACTTGCCCTGACTGACCCTTACATTTATTTTAGGGGATTTTGACAAAAACATTTCTTCCCCAAAAAAATTGGGTTGTTTCAGATTATACATTTTGAGTTTTATTTTTAAAAAATCATGGCAGCCTCCATCTATGCACTTCTCTTCCCGACCACCAAAAGCAGATCATGTACTTGTTGGATCCTCTTGGAAGTTGCACTGTGTTGGATTATTGTGTGTTTAACAGTTTTATGAAATATGGTTTAAAGGGCAAAGTTGGAGATTTGTACACATTTATCCTCGTCTCATGGGTTTTCGTGCTATTTAGAATGCATTGTGACATCACAATTTCCATTGAAAAAGCATGCCTAGTACGAATTCATAAGACGTACGAAAACATATGATCTGACCATAAGACTGGTATATAACACTTATTTTAACAACCAAATTTAGTTCCTGTACTAAGTATCTTGACTGTGTGTTGTTCTTGTTTGTCTTTGTTTGTATGTCTGTTGTATGTAAACCAATACCAATCTGTGTTGTCAGAATAGAAACTGATTGATAATTAACATGTCTAAAAATGGTCTGAGATTGATGTGGTCTATTGTCATATGTTAGCATTTGAAGTCATTGTTAATAGCATTACAATTTTATGTTCTAGAGCTCGGCAGTCCCCCAGGTGATGCTCCCATTGAAAAAAAAGCTGGAGGAGATCCAAGGCAAAATACTGTAGACCAAGCAATAACTGAAAAGCAACAAAACCTTCAAGTTATACAACCTTCCTCAGACATCAGGAATGTAGGTACTAATCAGACCTTGTCAGAGCAGCATGGAGCACAGCAACAACTAAATCAGCTCCAGACAAAAGTGATCCCAGTACAGCAACAAGATACTCAGTCACAAAAACAACAAGATATTCCTAAGCAACAGGATACTCAGTTTCAACAACAAGCTAAATCTCAGCAGACAAGTCACTCACAAGGAGCTAGCCAGCATCAACATTTGTTAGATCAAAAGCCAGTAAATCAGTCTCAACAACAAACAAAATCTCTAATAGAAGTGATCCCAGCTCAACAAGAAGTTGCCCAGTCTCAACAGGTGATCCCTTTACAAAAACAGGCAACTCTTTCACAACAGCAGGTAAATGCTGAACAAAATCAGGCAACACCTTCACAAAAACAGGCAGCTCTTTTACAACAACAGGCAACTCCTTCACAACAACAGGCAACTCCATCACAAAAACAGTCTGCTCCTTCACAAAAACAGGCAACACCTTCACAACAGGCAACTCCTTTACAACAACAGGCAACACCTTCACAACAACAGGCAATTCCTTTACAACAACAGGCAACACCTTCACAACAACTGGCAACTCAATCTCTTCCGCATGAAAGCCAGTTTCAGCAGCAGGTAGCTCCAGCAACAAATCAATCTCAACAAGTATTTCTTTCCCAGCAGGAGGGGTCACAGCAGACACGTCAGTCTCAACAAGTTGCAGCCAAATTACACCAATTAATTGACAATACACAAAATACATCAATATTGACACAGGTAGATGTTAACCTAAAACAAGAAGTTGTACAACCAGTGAATCAGGAAGTTAAACAAGAAGTTGTACAACCAGTGAATCAGGAAATTAAACAAGAAGTTGTACAACCAGTGAATCAGGAAATTAAACAAGAAGTTGTACAACCAGTGAATCAGGAAGTTAAACAAGAAGTTGTACAACCAGTGAATCAGGAAATTAAACAAGAAGTTGTACAACCAGTAAATCAGGAAATTAAACAAGAAGTAAAAGCTTTGTATCCTGAACCTTCACAGAATTTTGTTCAAGAAATAAAACAAAATGAAAATAATATTGAACAAAAAGAAACAAAACAGCAGTCAATTCCAGTCATAACACCAAAACAGGATACCAGTATAACACCAATACAACTGGAATCTAGACCACAAGAATCTAATTATAGAACAACACTACAGCAGATATTGATTAGACCAGAATTTAGCTACAAAACTACAGTACAACCAACATTTAGTACAACAGGTAATATGTACAGTAAGACAACAGGTAAAAACTAGAAGTAAACTATAATACTATAAATATAAAGCTAGTTTCTTGAGTTTTAATTATGAATTTAGATATATGGACTTTTTTGTCTTTTTGAATGCCAGTATGACATGTATGAGCTGCTGCATTCACTCTTGGTGGCAGTGATGGTAATTGTATCAATTAGGTTTTGTCCTCTAAAGTTTAAATAGTGTCACAAATATTTAATTGCTACATTGGGTTTTGTCAGTTAATGTCAATAATAAAAAAATATAACCCTGGTAAGTAGAACCAAAGTATTTCTAGTGAAACGCATAAGAAATGGTAATATAAATCAAAATTGTCTGATTTATAGTGTAATTTAGGAAGTCATTACATAATGGATATTGTCCATGTTTTCTGAAATACAATTAAGTTTAATCTTTAACAATTATTCATAATCATGGTAAAAATTTTGATCAAAATTTGAAATTCAAAATGAAAATGATGCCCTCAATTCATTCAGTCCATCTACACAATCTTTGTCTTTTTTCTAATAGGTGATACAATGGATAATGGTGATGATTATTTAGTTGACTGGGATAAAGATCAAGATTTGGATGCAACTAATGACCAAAAAACTGATGTTGATAGTTTGGTTGATGAAGATAAAGATGTTTGGGATGATTCAGATCAAGATCCATGGGACAAAAATATAGATCTTAATGTAGATAACAATGAAGAAGAGCTAGAAAGTAATTATAATATTAACTGAAATCTTAATGTAGATAATAATGAAGAAGAGCTAGAAAGTAATTAAAATATTAACTGACAATTGCTGCAGTAGTAGAATTACATGTAGTTTCCTTACCCTTGGTTCAGTAAATGGTTGATTGATAGTCATTTGACCTGGATGTTTAGGAGCAAAAATGTCAATATAAAAATAAGGAGATGTGGTATGATTGCCAATGAGACAACTATCCACCAAATTTCAAATAAAGTGGATGTTAGCAATTATAGGCAATTGTACGTCCTTCGACAATGAGAAAAACCCATACTGTATACTCAGCTATAAAAGGAAGCATGTACAGTAGGTTCAGGATGAAAACAAATTAAACAACATATCCAACACAAAGCCCACAGATGGAGAAACTTGGTCCAATTTCTACACTCTGCTATTCAGGCTGGAGTATTTAAGAGTAAATATGGAGAGTGAAAACATAAGGCTGTTACTACATTAAGATCAGAGGTAATGTTTAAAGGGAATGTGGAAAGTGAAATTTTTATAGGCTTTATACTGATCTGCCATTTCTGCCATGCTTCTTTATTTAACACTGAATCTGTCAATATTGAATTTTATAATATAGTATAAATGTAGTCATCTTCATACAAAATATGTGAAACTCAAATTGACATAATAGATATTTAACTTACAGTCTAAGCAAACATTTGTATATTATTCAAATTTGAAAACATTATTTAAACCACTGGAACCTAATAATTTTTTTTTAATTAATCTTGCAGATGAAAACAACAATTTTATTGAGGATACTAAAAAATTCCCTGATGGTCAGGATAATGGTTATTTTGATGAAGATGATTTTAACAGTGTTGCTGATAAAACAGGAGATTTCTGGGATGGTAATATTTCTAATATAGTAACAACAACTTTTAAGACAAATCTTTATTTTTCATACCTTTTTTGCAAAATAGACATCTTACATCTGTCACCTTTTATATCGTAAGCATATAAGCACTGCATGAAATTAAAGTAAATCAGCAAAAATATGAATTAGAACTATAAGGTTTTATTTTAGTTTGAAGTGAAATTTGATATACTCCATTAGTTGTTAGATGGTGAAGTGATACATATAAGATGATGACTAACTATCCACAACCAATCCAACAAACACTATCTAAACATTCTGTAAAACATTTGTTTATATTTTTATCTTCTTTCAGAACCAATGTTTAACAAGCATCCTTTGATAAAAGACAAGTTTGTAACAAAGAATTATAGAAGTCCAGTAGCAGACGAGACTAAATTAATGGGATTCTATAGCTGGGTTCTCTTTGTGACACTTTTGTTTCTTATAATGTTTGTCCTGTTCACACAACATAGACCAAGGGTAAGTCTATAATTAGTAGTCACATGATTAGTGACATTATAATGTGTGTCCTGTTTACAAAACATAGACCAAGGGTAAGTCTATAATTAGAAGTCACATGATTTGTGACATTATAATGTTTGTCCTGTTTACACAACATAGACCAAGGGTAAGTCTGTAATTAGTAGTCACATGATTTGTGACATTATAATGTTTGTCCTGTTTACACAACATAGACCAAGGGTAAGTCTGTAATTAGTAGTCACATGATTTGTGACATTATAATGTGTGTCCTGTTTACACAACATAGACCAAGGGTAAGTCTGTAATTAGTAGTCACATGATTTGTGACATTATAATGTTTGTCCTGTTTACACAACATAGACCAAGGGTAAGTCTATAATTAGTAGTCACATGATTTGTGACATTATAAAGTTTGTCCTGTTTACACAACATAGACCAAGGGTAAGTCTATAATTAGTAGTCACATGATTAGTGACATTATAATGTTTGTCCTGTTTACACAACATAGACCAAGGATAAGTCTATAATTAGTAGTCACATGATTTGTGACATTATAATGTTTGTCCTGTTTACACAACATAGACCAAGGGTAAGTCTGTAATTAGAAGTCACATGATTAGTTCTTTCTCAATATGTAAAGATTTCCTAAAATATCCATTTTTATACGACCGCAAAAAATTTGAGTTCATATATTGCTATCACGTCGTCGTCCGAAGACGTTTGGTTTCCAGATAATAACTTTAGTTTAAGTGAATGGATCTCTATGAAAGTTAAGCAAAAGGTTCAATATTACAAAAGAAAGGTACAGATTGTTTTTGGGGGTGATGGTCCCAACCATTTAGGAATAAGGGGCCAAAAAGGGGCCCAAAACAAGCATTTTTCTAGTTTCAGGACAATAACTTGTTTATATGTATTTTGATTGCTCTGAAATTGTACCACAAGGTTCAATACCACAAGTAGAAGGTTGGGATTCATTTTAGGGGTAATTGCCCAACCGTTCTGGAATTAGGGGCCAAAACAAGCATTTTTCTAGTTTTCAGACAATAACTTGTGTTTAAGTGTATGGATACCTCTTAAATTTTACCACATTTTACAAAAAGAAAATTGCATCAAATATGATATTTTTTTTTTTGGAAAGTGGGGGGGTTAAAAAAAATTAGGGGGGGGGGGGGAATTTTTATTCCTCAAGATTTAAGAAATTATCAATTTTCCATTATTTTTTTGGAGGGGGGTTAAAAAAAAAAAATTCTTTGGGGGGGGGGGGTCAATTTTGTTTCCTCAAGATTTAAGACATCAATTTTCCAAAAATAAAATTGGGGGTCACAATTTATTTTGCTAATTCTTTGTATATAGTCTGAAAACAGATTTACTAAGTATTGCGCAACAGCACAGTGTATTGCACAACAGCAAGAAATCTTCCATTGAATATAAATTCAAATCATATAACCAATTTCAAGTTCTTTGACTACATTTATTCTGTGTCAGAAACCTCTTATGTGTCAAATATTTAATTACAATCCAAATTCAGACCTGTATCAAGCTTGAATATTGTGTCCATTTTTGCCCCAACTGTTCAGGGTTGGACCTCTGCGGTCCTATCCAGCTGCGCTTTGCAAAGCACATTTACTTATTAATTAAAATTCCTCATATGAACATAAAGTACATTTTTTCCAAAATGCCCTGAAAATCCCTGATCTTATATTTGATTTAAACAATACATTGTTTCTCCATGTCAGACTTTTTGAGATTTTCCTTTCTAACAAACATGGCAATACATTTACTGTAATACCATGAATACAGTAGGAGCTGTTTAATGTTCACTTCAGTTTGGTCTTATATTTTCAGACCTTTATTTTATACTTTTCAGTCGAGATGGTTTGGACTTGGAAGACGATATAGATCATCATCAAAATCTGTAGCGTATTGATGTTGGACGGAGTATTAATCCACATATTGTTTATGATTTCAGTGTGGACTTCTATATGGATCAAGGAACCGACACAGGAGGCCATCTGTATCTACAGAAGAAGGAAAAAGTCTCATGAAAAATATGTATACTTAATTTATACTTAAACTTATACTAAAAAAAATTTGAGAACTACTTAATTTTTATATTTCTTTCACTACCTTGTGGGTATTAACAACTCCATTTCCTATTTTATTTAACTGATTTTTCTTTTGCTTTTGAATTTTGAAAGTATTGCTTTAGCTTTTATTGTTTACAATAAGTGGGAGAGAAAAAGTAATCTGTGGAGATTTTTTTCTGTATACTTGTTTATTTTATTTTTAATGTCCTTATTGGTTTTGATTGACATAAATGTAAGAGGGAAAAATGATCTGTGGAATCATATTTCTGTATGCTTAAAATCACAAAAGATCTCACATTTTATGTGTTTACATTTTAAGGTCTGCAAGTATCATTTTGGTTACATTATACTTTAAATTCAGAAATTATTGCATGTATTAAATATAAAGATTTTTAAAGACTGAACAAAAAGATTAGTTATCACAGTTCAGGAAAAGTTTCAAACAGATATATGTATCAGATATTAGAATGCAAGTTCTTCTTACTGTGATACTCACCTAGTCACATTAATAAAAACTTTGCAATTATTTCTGAATTTACAGTATATCATTTGAAAGCAGAGAAAGAAATATTTTTTGGCAGCCTATTTTTATTGAAGAACTGGTCATTATCATGATATATGGACTGCCCACAGGACAGTGGTATTGACTAAGACAGAGATAATGACTGATCTGTAGGCAGTCAATACCACTGTCATAAGGGCAGTCCATGTATCACGATAATGACCAGTTCTTCAATAACTATTATGTTTATTTCATTGAGGAACCATGTTTTTAAAAATTCTCATAAATTCAAATTGTTCAAAGCAGACTCGAGTTATTGTACGATTTCTATAGGAAAGAGTGAAGACCAGTCATATTGATAACTATAAGTCAGTACCGTTCATTTAAATGCAATTTTTCAGTATATGAATACAAAATAAAGTTTTCCATAATTTTATAATTCTTGTTGCTGAGTAGTTTTTCTCTATCAGCATTGGAAATTACGGCAAAACGATCATTTGAGTTGTCTGCAGCAGGTGTGTCTTCCAGTTCAGCCATGTTCCAAACGTCTGAATCGCGATTGCATTTTTTTATTAAAGGGACATCACTCTAAACAGAGAAACCACGCCCCATTGGTCATTAACATGTAAAAGTCCTTTAATGACCAGTTTTCTGGTACGTTTTTTTTTTGTGAAAGACCGATGGAATTTTTTACTAAAGAATAAAGAATGTCATGTGGCCCCTTGTTATCCAATAAGAGAAGCTTATTCTCTACCAATATGAAATAATATTTGTTAGATATTTTACTTTAGGTAGATTCTATTCTATCTGATTGAAATACAGATACTGTGTTCATGCTTCACTAAAAGGATCTGTTCTATTTTCTGTTTTAAAGATCTTTAGGTACCCTCAGGTTTTGTTGTAATATAAACACCTTAATAAATTGAAGCCAGAAACTTTATTTAGTGGTATAAACATTATCAGAACAGAAAGTAGGATGGAGATTTGACTCCATTCTTTGTGTAAAATTTTACCCTTAAGGCATACTAAGGCGATCTAGGAGTAAAATTTTAAAAAGATATAAAGCTTAATCATTATTTAAGTCACTTCTTATTTAAAATGTTTCCCCAAAAATTGCATTGAAAGAGTTTGTGATATTTTAGTGCTTATAATATATTACAATGTTGTCAGTGTTTGTTGGTCATGGTTGAGTGAGTATTAGAACATGAAGCTTATCACAAAGTGATCGAAATTTTCACAGGTTATTACTAATGATAGAATTTAGATATATTGTATTGGGAATATGGATTGTGATGTAAAGTTTTTATTTCAGTAGAATTATAGTAGCTCAAGTTTTGCCCCTATATGTTACTAAGGTGATACTGATATTAGTTGCACCATCAGAAAGGAGTTATGACAATTTGAACAATTTTAAATAAAGCTGCTAGGCCTTCTTCAATTTAAACCAGAATTATTGAAGCAGCTTGGCCTTCTTCAGTTGAAACCAGAACTATATCATGAAATTTGAATTTGCAAACAGCAAGACTTATTTCAAATTTTCACTGATTTCTTTTTGGTTTACATTAAAGGGCCTGTCAAACTTATCTTATTTAAGTTTAGAAGGATAAGTCTGAATATAGATGTCTTTGTATGACAATTAAGCTACCATAATTCTACTGCTGAGAAATATTGTACTTTATATAACTTAAATTTTTATTGTTGTTATTGTTAGAGTTTAGCACTTGTTTTTTTTTTTCACATATTTTATGTTTTATTTTGATGACATTTATAACATATATTGAGGGAATTATCTATTTGGTTGTCATTACTCGTCACTAATATTCACATTCTTATATCATTATAAAGTCAATTTCACAATTGTATTTTTTTTTCATTGTTTGTAAAATTTTATGACATGGTGTAAGGAAATTTACAATGTAAAAATATTTATCTTCTTGTGTTACAGTGAGGATGCATATATTGTCAGCTTGCATGATATAATACTCATTTTTATCCAACATTTATATATAAAACTGTTGTTTTATGCCCCACCTAGGGGCATTATGTTTTTCGGTCTGTGCTTCAGTTTGTCCGTCCGTTCTTTGTCCCCCTTCAGGTTAAAGTTTTTGGTCAAGGTAGTTTTTGATGAAGTTGAAGTCCAATCAACTTGAAACTTGGTACACATGTTCCCTATGATATGATCTTTCTAATATTTATGCCAAATTAGAGTTTTGACCCCAATTTCATGGTCCACTGAACATAGATATGATAGTGTGAGTGGAACATTCGTGTACTATGGACACATTCTTGTTTTATTTTATTTTATTCATTATTTTTTTCTTTTTTGTAAAAAAAAATGTTGGGCTAAAAGTGAAAAAGTTTCTGTTACAGCATGTAGGTCAAGGGAAACAGATTACAGTTATATTTATGGAATATGATAGATTTCAATAAAAAAAGGAGGAATTGGTATATTTGAAAAGCTATTTTTAACTTACGGTAATATTTTCATCCATAGTGTAATTTTCATCCATATCATGAATATCACATGTACATGAATTAAAAGATTGTTTTCTAAATTGTTGATTAAGCCTGTATGAATGTGCCATGTTCTAAGATTTGCAGCTTTCGTTTTAATATATATATAATTGTGTGCCATTATAATAGGAATTACACAATAGTTGCTATTATTGCAAAGTACTTTACTAGTCCCTTTTATTTAGAAAAGTTTATTTCATTATGAACAAATATTTCACATTGAACAAGGTTTTGTGTTAGCAGCAATTGATAGTTGTTACTAGTAGTAACTTGTGTGTATTTTTATGATCTCTTTGGATTTTATGTTGTTGTTAAATTGATTACTATACTTAATTATATATATAATGGTTTCATACATTGAAAAAAAATCAGATGTGGTATGATTGCCAATGAGACAATTATCAACCAGAGACCAAATAAAGAGGATATAGGGCCTTCAACAATGAGCAAAAGCCATACCGTATAGCAAGCTTTAAAAAGCCCTTTCATGACAAAATGTAAAAGAGTTTAAAAATGAAAGGAAATGGCCTCATTTATGCTAAAATAATAAACAAAAGAGCACTGAATCACAGGCTCCTGGCTTGAGATGGGCACATACAGATTGAACAGGTTGAACATGTTTCTGACTGCGTAACCCTCCCTTAACCTTAGACAATGGTGAAAAAGCAAAAAAATGAACAAACAATCAGAAGGAAAAGTCTTTTGACTAAGGCCTATCATGTGATGTGATCTGACAAATCACAGCTTTCGAACAATATGATACATGTTTTATTATAAAAGATTTATAACCTGTCATGTATTACTCCTATGAGGGGTTTTGTTTGTTTAAATACAAAATTGATGAGAAAAAATGAGATTATAAGTAAATATATGGTCCAATAATCTGATTATGGTCTCTGACTAATGTTTGTTTTACTCAGGTTTATGTACAAAGCTTTCATATTGTACATTTGAATTGAGAATTACTTGTTTAGAAGCTTTTCTAATAAATTTGTTATACTGAAATCATTTTCTGATGAAATATTGAATATTCCCCAAGTTGAAATCTATCAATACTTTTACAAAATCACTTTTATGCCCCCACTGCAGCGGAGGGAGCATTAAGTGTTACCCTTGTCTGTCCGTATGTACATCTCGAGATTGGTTTCCATTCTCTAACTTTAGTTTGCCTCAACCAAATGTTATGAAACTTATATACAATGCTTATTTCCACAAAACACAGATCAAGTTTGAATTTAGTGGCATCACTTTTACTGTTCTAGAGCCATGCCCCTTTACAAATTGAAAAATAGTTGAATTTTTGTTTCTGTTCTCTAACTTGAGTTTGCCTCAACCAAATGTTATGAAACTTATACAAAGTGCTTATTACCACAAAACTCAGATCAAGTTTGAATTTGGTTGGTGTCACTTAAACCCTTCTTGGGTTATGTCACTTTATAACGTTATATGCAAGCAGGAGCATTATCTGTGTCCCATAGACACATTCTCCATTTATTTTTGTTTATTTCATGATTAATTTATATATCAGGGTGCTTTTTATTGAATTTAGCAATGCAAGAGGGCAGTATTATCTATATATCTATTTAGGTGTATGGTCTTAACTTGTGATTATAATTATACCATACATATGTGTATTGGGAAGGTTCATTGTATATATGACATTTCATGGAATATTTGTATTCATTTTTTTTCTACCAGTGCAAACAAAATTCCAGATACAAAGGCTTATTATAAGTTTTGAGTCTACCAATGTGACAATGTTTGATTATAAACTAGAATGTTAACCAAGATATATGAATATTTTATTCACATTTCATGAATGCAATAGTTTATATTTTCACCTAATGAAATATTTCATTATTTTGTTCAAGGTTTATCCAGATAATTGTTTTAGAATAATGATAATCAGTCCACAAACTTAAATTTATCCTGCAATTAGACATTTAACTATACAAATATCAATGTACAAAAATATGTGACACTTATATACTATACACATATTGTTTTTGGTTTTCTTCTTCTATACTGAGTGTTGTCCTAAACATGCATAAAATATTTGCCACTGTACAATCAATTTATTCTGAGTGAAATGTAGTATTTGAATAACCATCACAATTCATTTTATGGTCCTTGGCATAGTCCGTATATGTTATTGCTTCCACTGCTACTTATTGAATATTTAACGACATAGACTATGTCAAGGAAACAACCTGTAGAAGTACAAATAAATTTTATATTGTTCCACATTGAAAATCTACCTTCTATGAAACAGTTTGTATGTATATTGGATATGTATTTGACTTTAAAAAAAACATCAGCAGTAACATCTAAAGGCAAATCTTCTACAAATTTAATTGTTTGCTTTAAAATGAAAAAAAATATCCTTTTATAGTGAATTTTATAATCTGCAATAAAATTTTCTTTGAAGAGCTTTGTTGATATTCTAGCAGAGATAGACTAATGTATCTGTTATTAATACATAATTGGATAAACACAACTGTGACATACATGAATTATTTCCAAATTTGAATTATGATATTTTACTGTCTATCTGGTACTTACGATTAATGTAATATGAAGTGATGAATATAAGAGAGAGAGAGAGAGAGCAGAAGTGTTTCATAACCTCTGTGACTGGCTGGATCACAAAGGTGTTTTGTTAACAGCAAAATAAGGTGCAATAAAATTTGATTTTAATTTTGTTAAATTTGTTTGTTTATTTGTTTATGATCACTGTTAATATGAAATTTCAGGTTGACTTAATAGGTAAATTTTAGTCAGTATACACAAGCTGATACTGGTTGATACAAGCAAAAAAACCTAGAAAACATGAATTTATTTGATGCTCATGTAATTCCCCTTTTTTGTGTGTCTCTTCTTGAGAGAGCTGTGGATATGTAGTGTGTCATTCTGTTTACTGTTTACCAACTTTTTCTTTCACATCACAGTGCAAAGCTTTAAAAGGTGCATTGACACGATACAATGTTCCCTTCGATTTACATTGGGTTTTTACCTGTGCATCTGCTTTCTATAAAAATCGCACTGTGTGAACACTAAATCGTAAGTAGTTCGGTTAATGGAATGGAAATTCATATCTTGTCAATGCGATAAGATTTAACTAGCGGACGGTATCAAATTGGATGGAAAATCGTATCATGTAAATGCACCTTTAGTTGCAGTTGATATACATGCCTTCATGGATTTATCACTTGACACCAGTTAGTTCTGATTAGTTGCTTAATGATGTGGCTAAGATTCTTTTGGCTAGAATGAGTTATAAAATTGGGATCATGTCAGCAAGGGGAGAAGCATCAATTTATGTGTAATACTCATTGTGTACATAAGGTGGCATTCAGTAGAGAGTGTCA